GCCCGCTGACGCCTCGCTTTCAGCGTGCATGAGTGCGTGCTGTGTGTGTTGTGTGTGTTGTGTTGCGTGTGTTGTGTGTGCTGTGTGTATTGTGTGTTGTGCTTTGTGTGTTGTGTGTGCTGTGTGTGCTTTGTGTGTTGCGTGTGCTGTGTGTGTGTTGTGAGGGCTGTGTGTGTCGTTTGTGTTGTGTGTAGTGTGTGCTGTGTGCGTGCGTGTCTGTGTGTGTGCGCGCGGCTCGGGCGGCGTCCCCTGCCAGCGCCGACGGCGGGCCCCTGAGCGCCAGTGCAAGGGGCCCGCGCGGAGCGCCGAAATTCTATGGTCACGCGGGTGCGCGACGATGAAAAGCGGTCACGGACTCAAGCGCGGACTCAAGCGGCCACTCGCACTTCGCTGAGGAGAACAATGACAGTGTTGGGAGAGAGGGGATGGGAGGATGAGGGGCATGAGCAATAACTAACGTCTAGATGCAATGAACGATACCTTCGGCCGCCTACGGGCAAGAACATCGTCGCTCCTCCCAGCCCCATCCTCCCAACCCGACAATTGGGCGAGATCAAGCACGGGTCTTGCGCGAGAAGACGTGGCGACCTTGCGCGGCGGCCTACGCGGGCGGGCCCCCCGCGCGGCACATGACATGTGGAACGAGGGCGCTCACGCACGAGCTTACGCGGGCAGCTGACGCGCCAATGTCGGCGCAGACGACCCCGTGGTCTTGTGTCGCCGAGGTGTTGCTTCCTCCGTGGGTGGAGACCGCAGACTGCCTGTGCCCTCCAGCCGCCTGGTCTGTTCGTGCCCGCGTGTGTCCCACGAGGTCTCAGGCCCCCATCGAGGCATGAAGAAAGCACGACGGGAGGACTTTCCTCAATCTCGGCCTCCGGGGGCCCTTACCGGGCCTCGCGAGACCGTCAAGAAACGACCCGGGAGAAGAAACCGGTCCCGGAGAAGTGGTCCAGACCTCTGGGGGTCGACGTTACGCACAGAGCATGACGTCGGGGGTCTGGCTATGCCCTCCTGCCGCCTTGTCTCTTCATGCTCATGCTTGCTCCCCTGAGGTCACAGGCAGTCTTTGGCGAACGAGATGGAGGGGGCACTGGGTGCGTGTTGTCGGATAAGGGTCCCCGCTCGAGCGGGAGCCTCCTCCCTGGGCCCGACAACCCGCCACCCATTCCTATGTGTGGCCCTCTGGGCCCTCACTCCGACCCCCCTCTGGCTATAGTTGTGCGTGTGTGTGTGTATGTTTGTGTGTACGTCTGTGTGTATGCCTGCGTGTGTGTGTGTGTGTGTGTGTGTGCGTGTGTGCGTGTGTGTGTGTGTGTATGCCTGCGTGTGTGTGCCTGCATGTGTGTGTACATGTGTGTGTGTGCGTGTTTGCGTGTGCCGGTGTGTGCGTGTGAGCGTGTGTGTGTGTGTGTGTTTGCGTGTGCCTGTGTGTGTGCGTGTGAGAGTGTGTGTGCGTGTGTGCGTGTGTGTGTGTGTGTGTTTGCGTGTGCCTGTGTGTGTGTGTGTGCGTGTGAGTGTGTGTGTGTGTGTGCGTGTGTGCGTGTAGTGTGTGTGTGTGTGTGTGCGTGTGTGCGTGTGTGTGTGTGTATGTGCGTGCGTGTGTTTATGTGTGTGCGTGCGTGCGTGTGTGTGTGTGTGTGTGCGTGTGTGTGTGTGTTTGTGTGTGCGTGTGTGTGTGTGTGTTTGTGTGTGTGTGTGTCTGTCGTTCGCTGGGCCCCCTGTCGGGCCCCAGGGCCGTCAAAGAGCGGCCCAGGACCGAAGCTGTCCTGCTCCGCGGAGACACGGCAGCGCGCAGGGCGTCCTGTCGCACCGTCCGTAACAGGGGACGCGTCGACCAACTTTTCTTTCAGACTTCATGCGGTCTTCGAATGGACCATGAGTTTTGGGCCCAACCATGGGATAAACGTTGGGGAGGGGGGGGGGGGGGCCTCCGTCCTCGATAGTGGTGTCTCCGAATAGCTCCCTTGGGGTGTATCCCAAGGGTTTCCTCCTTTCCCTGAGCGGCCAAATTTGTTAGGCGGAACTTGGGGACTGGGGGAGGACAACCGCCTGCGAAAAAGGAGCCGCGGAAGAGCAGGCCGTGCACCTGCACGGAGGGAGAGCACGACAGGAGCGGCCGCGGAGGAAGACACACTGGCAGGAAGGATGCAGTCAAGAAGTCTGGGTTTCACTGGGGACCTTCTCTTTTTATGCCGTGGGCATCGACCGCGGTGCCAAAGACAGCACTGAGCTGCCGTGGACAGGCCAGGTGGTGCAGCTTCTAAGAAGCATGCACCCAAAGGCTGCAGGACCCGAAGGGGGTTCCTGCAGACAAAGACCTGGGGTGAGGCAGAGAGCGCGGCGAA